ATTTGGATTATTTTCCCTAAGCATTTTTGTAATACAAAAGAAATTATTGGATACTTTAAAAATTCCTATCGGAAACTGATATTATTGCACCTGGCATATGTGGAACTCTTTTTATAGATTAATCGCAAAGAATCATTCGATTTGAAAAAATTTATTCTAAACTTTTAAATCAATTTATTTTAAATTAAATGCTAATTGGACAATTGACTAATAGTTCCATTGTAAAGCAAATTGACAGCAATTATGAGTCCAATGGTTGAAATTAATTCAACTGACAGCTAGCAAAGTATTTTATTAGAAAGTTGCGCTATCCATTGGCTATAGAAATTTTGTGTTTTTTCGAGCATTTTATGAACTTAGTGAAAATATTTAGGCGCCATCGAATGCACTAAGAAAATTTGATTAAATAGTCAGCCTAGTCCACAAATCTAAATTCTGCTATGAATAGGCTTTAAAGACCTAACTCTCGATGTAATTATTATTTATTATCATGACGATTTTTGTTATGATAACAAAAAATGTATGAAAAAATGGAAAATTCAACACTTTGACGCTTTTACCAATAATACAAAAACTAAATTTGTTATACCTTTTCCGGATATGAAAACATGCAAGACTAGCACCCAAACACATAGGCGATAAAGGCATCAGCAGTCAGCAGACCACGCTACTGCTCACCTGCCTTTGCACTGCTGAAAATGATGCTCCACACCCCACGCGCCGTTGCTTACAACAGAATGATGAGCGTTCAGCGCTCACGTGTGGCTCGCCGATGCGGCAGCGCTCTATTTCTGGCACTTGCGGCTTGTACAAAATTCGCTAATTCGCAAAAAACGTCTAGCCACAAAATTGTGCGGTAGCCGCAATACCGTTTGCAACAGCTAATTCGCTTTGCAGTTTCTTGCATTTTTACCTTATTTACATATACTTATGCTTATATACATATATGTATATATGTTATACGCACTTATGTATATGCGTGACGCAACTTGCAGCTTGGTGCGCGCTGGTGGACATTCACTCGCCGCTGGCGCTGTTTATTGTGAGTTGCCGGCAACTGACAGTGTTTGCTTGACCGTCGCGCCGGCAATAGGGCAAGTTTCTAAAGGGACGCAACAGCTACTAATAAGAAATACACACAAACATATGTACATGAGGGCAAGTGGATAAATGTCGGGTGATCCCTCATTATATTGGTGAAGCAAGTGCTGCGCGGTCGAGTGTGTGTTTGTACAGGGCAGTGAAATAAACTGCAATAAACAGTAAATTGTGCTCGTGCGCCACAGCAACAATAATAAAAAACACTTGCTAGGTACATGCGCAAAAAATAGCCATATGCTAATTATTATAAAAATATTTACAATGTGCAATTTGATTGCAAACAAAAATAAAACACACGCACACACATGCACAACAGATACACACATACACAAATACGCAGGCGATTTTGATGAAACCCGCTTATATTTGTTAATTATTGAATGAGCGCATTCACACGAACGCATACATATATCACATGTGAACACACACACACAAGTATTTGTGAATGCATTAACTTTTGTGTGCCAACTTGTTTATCGCGACAGCGATCGTCAGCGCAGCCGTCGCTATTTATTTATTTAGCCGCTAGCCGGTAACGCTACACACAGGTGACATCATCACCAATAGTAAACATACGAGTCCACCAAAAACAAGAGCGGCAACGAAAAGCCACACGAAACGCAAATCACAATAAACAAAGCGGTCACATTCAGTGAACTGTCGACGCGCTGACCAAGCGACCACCGACGACCGATCCACAAACTAAGTTAGGCGATAGGAAATACTCGCACAACAACAGCAACCACGCATATGCAATCCAACGATCGCGGCACGCCAAGTGCGACGTGGCGGCTGTTGGGGGTGTGAGATCGAGCGCTTAGACAAAAGCTGTGAGCGCGCCTGCGGTTGTGTGTGTGTGTGCGTGCGCGCAGCGAATGGTTTGAATGGAAACTAATTATTTCCAGCGCATTCGCATTAATTAGTGCTGCAAAAGTAGAGCAAAAGCCGAAGCTGCGCTCAGATTGATGATAATTGAAAAATGCGAAATTAAAATGAGCAAAAATGAAAGGAAAAAATAATGAAGGTGCGAACGGGAGAAACAAGATCAAATAATAGATATGACTGAAGATTTAAATAAGTTGGTTTTCACAGCAATCAATTTTAAAAGTAATCTCCATACCCAAGTGTCGTGCAAACGAAATATAGCAAAAGCAAATAAAAGATAATAATGAAAACACTTAAAACAAAAAGCTTAAAAGCAGCGCTGACTAATCGGCCGGTTTTTAGAATGTTTATTTACCTAAGCTTAAATTTAGTTAATTATTTAAAGTGTATTTTCTAGTCTTTGTAGATACATATAAAGCATGCATACCTTATATACAAACCCATGCATACGAAAAAGCACGATTTTAGTTTGGTTGTCAGTCAACTAAAAATACAACTGAGTGTTTAGATAATAGTGACGTAGCAGTTCTTTAGTGGACATTGCGTTTAATTAGTTGATTAAAATTCGCAAAAGAAAATTTTTAGAAAAAAAAATATACTTCGAAAAAACTATAATAATAGTGCTCATAAGTTGTAAAAAAATTTAAAACTGAAATGTAACGAAGTATTTGACAATTGTTTAAAAAGATTAAATTTAAATTATAAAAAAAATAGGGTATTTGTAAAAAAAAATGAAAATTTTCTAAAATAAAAATACAATACTGTTCATAAATTGGAAAATATTTAAAATTTAAATTTAATGAAGTTTTTGCAAACTGTTTAAAATAGTTTTTAAATATATATTTAATACAATTTTTGAAAAAAAAAAATTGCTTAATTTAATGAAATTTTTTTAATTAAGTGGCAATACTGCTCAATTATAATTTCGACTAAATGCGAGCAACGTTATAACTTTTTGTTTAAAAGAATCGATTATTCTTGCAATTCAAACGAAATTACTCAAACCGGTTCCGCCATTATTAAGCTGACGTTATGTACATATTATATAATGTAGGTTGGATGAAACTTCATTGCGTAACGCAAATTTCGTTGTCGTCGATCAATTTTGTGCTCATTACACTACTACCATTAAAAAAAAACGACAAAAATAATGGCGAAAAAGTGAACAAAAATTAAAAAAAAAAACGTGTATCAATATTTTTTTAACCAGTGGTAACACATTTTATATTAAAGTTATATTAAAATTCAAAATATAAATAGGTGGCAACATTTTTTCCCTTAATTAATTCAAAAGAATTTTTTTTTTCTATTTCCAATGACAATAATCGTGGTGCAAATTCAA